ACAGTCAGTCAGTCATTCTGGCCACAGGCTACCATCAGTCAAAGTCCAGAATCCAAAGTCAGGTCGGTCCCCTCCTGGCCGGGATCTGCCTGTTCGTCTATCCTTCCGAATGCCCCACTGACCAACTCTGCTTCTCACTTTATTCCCATCTCTCGCTTCTTATCATTGTTTCCTCAATTGCATCAACCCTTAAACGTTCCTTTTTAGGAGATGAAAGATGCTAGATGCTTTGAATAGCTGGGAGTCAGGCACTCAACACCCTCTTGAGAGCAGCACATCCACTTCTGGAAGCACACAAGGTCACTGCCTTGGTGGCTGTTACACAACCACTTTCTTTAACTCACACTATATCCCTTTCTAATGCATTTTACTTCACATACAAGTACAAGTACAAGTCAAAAGGCAAAATATGTCATAAAAATGAACGGCACAAACTACAGTTGTGTACAATCACATGTCAGCACAACATGAAAACATTATTTCACTGCGGTGTAGCAGCTAGATTTTTCACAAACTTAATGACAAATGTGACTAACTGAAACATTCAGTGGGATAAACTAAATTCATGCTCTCAAGTGTTGACAAGTGTTCTGATGATAATACTGAGCCCATAACTTCAGCTAAGGCTAACTTACCTTTGCATGAGCTCGGTGTCAGTACCACATAGAGGCACATCCTGCAGAACAGCACCGAACCGTGCGTGGCCATCCAGGGATTTATTTTTTAATTCTGGCACATTAAAAGTTATTGTGTGTTCTGAGAGAGACCCAGCCGCAGTTGGAAGTGTCGGGTGTTAGCGAGCTTAGGTGACTGGAGGCCTCCTTGTTTCCGCTGCATGGCTAAAATGAGGCATATCAACCATTTGTGTGATACCCAATTACTCCAAGTCAATACAAAGTAAAAACGACATTACCCAATGTCCATGCTACACATGAATAATGAGTTGTAATTGAATGGCTTCAACAAGTCGCAACTTGTTCTCCTCATGATTGTAAAGGCGGGCCAAAGCCTCCTGTTCAGTTGCATTTCGTTTCAATCAAACTCAGTTCTGTTTTAATCAAACTCTCTCACATACGCTATCAAACTCTTGCACACAGACAACTATTCTGTCTTACATTCACTCTCATTCTGTCTCACATTCACTATCATGCTGTTTCTTACACATGACTATTCTTATTCACATAGACCATTTATATCTCTTACATTCACTATTATTCTGTTTCACATATACTATTAAACTCAATTACATATTCTATCATAATTTATTACATATACAATTATTCCCTCTTACATAAACTGTTATGCAAGAATATAATATATGTGCATGTGTGCATGAAGTGTGTGTGTGTGTGTTACGTCTGTGGCCCTGACCTTCCCCAGCAACTCGTCAGCTGGTATGAGTAATCCCAGTAGCACCGCCCCCGCACAGGTGGGAGTGCATTCCAGGCGGCGAGGCACACCTGCTCTCAATTATCAGAGCAGTACTTAAGGAGAGCGTTGGTGTGTCCTCGTCACCAGATGATCACCTGTAATTCCACCAGTAACTTTGCTTGGCATCCATGCACAGACCCTATACGGAAGAACTGCGTACCTGTCGTTAAGCCTGACCTTGTGTTTTTTTTGGAACTGTATGTTGTCAAGACCTGTCCAGGGTGTACCCGCCTTCGCCCGATTGCCGGCTGGGATTGGCTCCAGCCCCCCCGTGACCCCGTTCAGGGACTAAGCGGTAGAAAATGAATGAATGAATGTATGTTGTCAATTTGTGGATGTTTTAGGCATCCGCTTGTCTGGATTCCTGCCCTTCGTTGCTTTGTTTTTCTCAGCACCAAGTGGTGCCGTGACTGTTATCTGTTTTCTTCAGTGCAAGGAGACCTGCTCTTACTAAGATTCTGAATCTCCACTATCAGTTGTCATCACAGCATCCTACTGCCTGCTCTGCTGTGGACCTGCTCATCTGATCGGCTATCTCCTGCACGCTCTCCTGCTGCCCCGGACTGCTGCTTTTGCCTGTGGCGCTCACCTGCCGAAAGCCAGCATGGTCGGCTAATCAGGTCTACAGTATTCCATCAGAACTAGCGCTAACCACAGCATACCTGTTTAGCTCTCTCATGTTCCCTCCCTCTGCTCTCATTTAGCAAGCCGCATCCCAGCTTCAACCCTGGTTTGCATCACCAGCAGTCCAGTCCACCAGGCACTCCCAGCTGCCCTGCGACCGGTGGATGAGACCAGCTCTGTCACTTCTCCTCTATACACTCATTAAATGCACTTACCTTGTCAAGCCTGAGTCTGAGTCCTGCATTCTTTTTTAGTCCACTCACGCGCTACATACAGCGTGCTGTAACAGTGTGTATGAGAATATTTGGTGATGTCTGTGAAAGGGTGGTACTAAGATGGTGCATTTAAGAGAGTATTGTTGTGTGTCTTGGAGAGAATAATAGATTGTATGGAAGTAAATAAAGGAAAGTATGACTGTGCAAGTGAGAGGCAGTGTGTGTGTAAGAGCACAGTTGTGTCCGTGTGAGAAAGTATGAATTGCGGCCTAAATGGCCTCTCATACAAATATGTAGATGTTTACAAGTCTCGATGGAGTTTGACAGAGATCATCAAATCACTATGGTGACAAGGTTTGACAAGAAATGTCTGCTATCTTTTACTTTGCTCAGTATCCAAGGACTTACATGCATATTGGATTATCACAATTTACATACAGTGACAATGCAGGCAGTAGCATGTCCTTTATATAACGAAGTGGAAAGTAAGGTTGTAGAAGCCTGGGTGGTGGATGGTCTTGTAGGCAAAAGCAAGTTCAACTTTCACACAGAAGGCCCAAGTTTGCAAATAACATTTCCCTATGAATTAACCACAGTTATATTTGTTTTAGTTGCCTAGCCCAAACCAACTGTTTATTTGCTATAAGCACAGTCTATCCGAAAGGAATTACATCCTTATTGAATGATTTGGTATGCTGCATTTTACAGCCAATGCCAACATTCAGTTCTACTGCAGAAAGTAGTTTGTCCTTTATGTAGCAAAGTGGAGTTGGAGTTGTAGCAAGTTGTCTGTTTTTCAGGCAGTAGGGTAGATTTTATTATGTGGTATTCAGGGTGAAACAAGGCTGCAATGTGAATTTTGTCATAAATGACAGTGAATATTTTTGTTAGTCATTAGCAGCATGTGTTTCCAGGGCAACTAATGGAAAATCCATACAAAAAAACTACTTATCCCAACTACTTATATCCTAGGACATTTCATTTGCTATTGAGCTGGGCTCCTTCTATTGTCGCAGTCCCTTTCACCAGTAGTTGCATTACTGCATTCTCTATTATAGCCTTAGTTCCTAAAAACCTGCACGTGTGTATACAGTACAGGTGTATTTATGCATATACACACACACACACACCTACACAGATTCCTCACAAACTAGTATAAATACACATAAAAGGACACCAACAACAGCGACAGGGGCCAGAAGTGAAACGAGGAACCTGAGAGTTTTTGGACATTTATGGAGAAGCTCAACATTTTTTGAGGAAACTGTGTAATCTGATCATCGCACACATTACATTATTGTTGTTGATCTTGTACACACATGGCTCATATGTCAGTTAAATTTATGCACCTGTGGCAGCTCAACTGAGTTCACATACAGATTTGGATACATGTCACTTACAAAAACACACTGTCCACACAAAATTATTGCATCTGAGAAAGCAAGGGACAGGTGTTAGTAACTAAAGCTGATAAAGTAACTAGAGTCTATAAGACTCAAATCTTACACAGGAATGTGGGAATCAGGACAAGTGTGCTGGCAGAAGCAGATTCAGGTATCTAGCAAAGTGGATAAAACTCTGTGGACAAATGGTGGGGACATGGGATATGTCTAGTTAAAGAATGAAGAGATTAGTTGAAGGAAAAGAAGACAGGTTAGGTGTCTCTATGACATGGAACAGTGTCACCACTGAGACTGTTTCATTAGTAAAAAAAAATCATAACATTTCATTTCTAGTGCTCATGAAACTTAAGCTGCATTCTCAGAGGCTTGATAACAAGTCTGTTAAATATGACACTTGAAAGCAAATAAAGGGGAATAGAGAATTATTACCCAGTTCTATGTGACAAGTGCTTCATTTACAACTGTCGTTGATAATCACTGATCTGACACCAAATCCATGCAGAATAATTACGCAGAGGCTCACAAAGTAACAAGTGAAATCAGCCAGGATCCTTGATAAATAAAAATTGCCCTGAACATGTCACACTCATGTTACAGGCATTACTTTAGCAGGTTATGTCAGTCTGTGCTGCTGTAATGAGGTGGCTCATGTCAGGAGTGGATATGATACAGTTCACTTTAGGGGTGTGTGATATTATATTTTATGTTTTTTAGGCCATGAATGTGAAATGATTGTGATTGAAGTGCCAAAGAATTATGCAACAATTGTACATTTACGCTTACAAAATTATTTACTTACTTTACAGTATGTTACTGTTACATTGCTGTGTCTTGTTGTATTGTCACTTACAGTACAGGAGAGAGGCAAAATCTAGTTTTAAGGTGGAATGCAGGGTAACATTCAGCAGGGTCACAGGCGATGACCCTCTCACTGTTTTCATTCAGCAGGGTCACAGGCGATGACCCTCTCACTGTTTTCATTCAGCAGGGTCACAGGCGATGACCCTCTCACTGTTTTCTCTGATAAAATGAATCTTGTTTTGATCTGATATAAATTCTTGCTAGGAAAAATAAATACAATGCGTTTGTCTGCCTAAAAAGACAGTTTATGCTTCGTCATTTGTCTCTGAGCTGTTTTTAGTGGTTTCTTGAGAACCAGTGGCAAGCTATGTTTTCCAGAAGACAAAGCAGCAGCAGAAAAGCTGCGTAGATTAAATGTATCTTAATTTTAGATGGACTCTGTATTCATTATGTGATCAGTCCTTTTTTCATACTTCTTTTGCACATTTAACCCCACCCTTTTTCACTCTCTTTCTCTTTATCCCAGATTGCTGAGACATCAAACTCATTCCTGAATCGAATGCTGAACAGAGACACCATTACAAGAATAACATATAAAAGTAAGTCACTTTGTGAAGTACTTTAACTGTCTAAGTATTGGTACTAATTATGTTTAAATGTGTGCCAAGGATTTGTTAATTCCAGTCAAATATCAATTTTTTTTTTCGATTTAGATGATGTAGACTCAGTGTATGAAGGCCACAATGTGCTAACCCCTGGACATAGGAATAAAGCTTAACCTCTCACACTAAGGTGTCATATTTGAAACACTTTAAAGCTCCAAACACCACTTGAGGTTTTATGGCGGAGATATTCGCTCAGCAATTAACTACCATGAACCTGCGAACAGAGTTCCCTGCAGACCCCCCTCATTCATGTCAGTAATTCAGGATAAGACCCCAAAACCTCCCAAATTATAACAACCTTCAGTTATAGGCAGCTATCCCCTTATACCCTCAGATGTAACTGTAGTGAGAAATTTTTATAAACGAGTATACTCTGGCTCTTTGAGGAAGTGTTACATTTTGTCTGAAATAACCAATAAAAGCAGTGGCACTGGCCACTTAAGACCATATTTGTTTTGCAAAGTATTTAGTTGACATAAGATGTTATTAAAGATAGGAAATTTAAAGGATAGTGTATATTATGTAATAGCAAACAGCTGGATTATGTTGTATAAAATATTTTCTGATGTAACTTTCTAAATGGGGAGGTAACAGTGGTGCAGTGGGTAGAGCAGTCGTTTCCCTTCCGGAAGGTTGAAGGTTCGAATCTCAGTGCCTGCAGTCCACGTGCTGAAGTGTCCTTGGGCAAGACACTGAACCCCCCCTGTTGCCCCCAATGGTTAAGAGCCGTTGGTAGAGTTGGCGCCGCAGATAGCTGCCTCGGTTCTGTACTGGAAACAAATTCCTTGTGTGTAACATACTTGGCCAATAAAGGTGATTATCCTTATCACCTCCGCTCTCACAGCAAGCCAGTTTGAATGGAATTCACTGGGGCAACAAGCCCAATCAGAAAAGTGCTGCTTGTGTTGTCAATGTTAGGTTTCTGCAGCCAGGCAGCTTAACACCGCTAGGTTGCTACCACCTGTTTGAACTTTCTGAGACACTGTTGAGAAGGTTGGCATACTATTAACACTGTTGATTGTTGAACAGTAAAATTAAACTCATTATCAAGTTGTGTTCTAAGATTTGAATTATAATGTAATGTAAGGGTAAACAACTGACTAGTTCATTTAGATTGTTTTTAAATGACTGTATGAAGATTATGTCAATATTCCAATGTTAATTTCAATCATTACTGATTTCCTTTTCAGGAAGTTGCATTTAACTATTTATATTATAGTCTTAAACAACCTTGAACATTACCACTTAAAAAATCATAAGAATTAGTAACATCAAAACTTGACTCAATAAACAAACTATTAAACCTTTTCAGGAATTTTATATAGAATCTTAAAAGCGTTACAGCAAAGCAGCAAGCAATAAGATATACAGTAAACCTTAAAATCATCAATAATTGTTTTCACTGGCTTACAACCTACAGTGGGTACGGAAAGTATTCAGACCCCCTTAAATTTTTCACACTTTGTTATATTGCAGCCATATGCTAAAATCATTTAAGTTCATTTTTTTCCTCATTAATGTGCACACAACACCCCATATTGACAGAATAACACAGAATTTTTGACATTTTTGCAGATTTATTAAAAAAGAAAAACTGAAATATCACATGGTCATAAGTATTCAGACCCTTTGCTGTGACACTCATATATTTAACTTAGGTGCTGTCCATTTCTTCTGATCATCCCTGAGATGGTTCTACACCTTCATTTGAGTCCAGCTGTGTTTGATTATACTGATTGGACATGATTAGGAAAGCCACACACCTGTCTAAGACCCTACAGCTCACAGTGCATGTCAGAGCAAATGAAAATCATGAGGTCAAAGGAACTGCCTGAAGAGCTCACAGACAGAATTGTGGCAAGGCACAGATCTGGCAAAGGTTACAAAAAAAATTTCTGCTGCACTTAAGGTTCCAAAGAGCACAGTGGCCTCCATAATCCTTAAATGGAAGACGTTTG